TTACAGAGCGCTGCCTTCCGCCCAGTTAATGTATTACAATCCCAAAGTAAGAAATAAAAAGAAACCCTAAAGACAGTGAAGACTGACAAACATGCACTTGGATAAGAGAGAATGGTTTGCTTGTTATCCAAAAAATATGACCAGCCTCTAGTACAAGGCAGCCTTCAATTAACTACCTAAAGACTCCCTTAAAGATTTTCATATATTTTCAAATAACTAACTTATGGATTTGATCATTTTTTTTACTGTAGTATTGTTTCCTAGTTCATTACTTTCCTCTCACTTTTATTCTCTCTCTGCTACTTTGGGTTCATATTGGGATTCATTTTCTAACTTATTTAAACTATACTTATCCAACAATCTTTGCTTATGTGTTGTTTTCAGTATTGCTTAATTCTGGGTATTTTTTAAAACTTCCATTATGACTTCTTCTTTAACCAGTAAGTTACTTAGCAATGTGTTTAATTATTTCCAAATATATAGGAGTTTACAGAACTTTTTGTTAAGTCCTAACTTAATTGCATAGTAGAGATCATAGTATGCATAATACTTAATTTTTGAAATTTATTGAAGTTTTCTTAACTTTAACCCTAACTTGATTGGGTTTGTAAATGTTTTATGTAGACTTGAGAAAAATATATTCTGGAACATTCTTGAGGATAGATCTTATGGTGAGCCACAAAACAAGTCTTAATAAATTTAAGAAGACTGAATTCATATCAAACATCTTTTCTAATCACAATGGTATGAAACCAGAAGTAAGTTTCATGAAGAAATGTGTAAAATTCATAAATATGTGGAGAGTAAAGAGCATACTAGTGAACAACCAACAGGTCAAAGAAGAAATTTCTCAAGAAATCAACCAATATCACAAAAAGAAATGAAAATGGAAATACAATATATCAAAATGTATGGGATGCAGCAAAAACAGTTCTAAGGAAAAATCATTGTGATAAGTGCCTACATTAAGGAAAAAGAAAGCTCAAAAATATATATATAACTTCACACCTTCAGAAACCAGAAAAGAACAAACTAAACCTAAAGTTAGTAAAAGGAAGGAAATTACAAAGATGAGAATAGATAAAAATGAAATAAAGACTAAAGAGACAATAATAGAAAAGGTCAATAAAATGAACAACTGCATTTTTGAAAAGAAACAAAAACCTATAGCCAGACTTACTAAGGATAGTAAGAGGACTCAAAATTAGAAATGAAAGAGGAGACATAACTGATATCACAGAAGTATGATGAGAACACTGAACAATTACACACCAACAAATTGGACAATCTAGAAGAAATGGTTAAATTCTTAGAAACATAATCTAACAAGACTGAATCATGAAGAAATACAAAATCTGAACAGACCAATTACTAGTAAGGAGATTGAATCAGTAATCAAAAACTTCTCAACCAAAAAAAGTCCATCAGATGTTTCACTGGTGAATTCTACCAAATAAAGAAGAATTAATACCAATATTTCTCAAACTATTCCAGAGAAAGGCTGGGGGGTGAGGAAGGAACACTTCCAAACTCACTTTATAAGGCCAGCATACCACGGTACCGAGCCAAGGACATTACAAGAAAAGGAAATTACAGGCCAATATCTGACATATACAGCTGGAAAATCAAAATATTTGGAAAAGGATTCAACAAAATATTAGCATACCAAATTCAACAACACATTAAAAATATCATACACCATGATTTATTCTGAGGATGCAAAGTCAGTTGAACATACGCAAACCAACCAATATGACACATCGCATTTCACAAAGTGAAGGACAAAACTCATATGGTCATTTCAATAGATAGAGAAAAATCATCTGACGAAATTCAACATTCACTCATGATAAAAACTCAAAAAACTAGGTGTAAAGGGAAAGCACATCTATATAATAAAGCCATATATGAGAAACCCACAGCTAGCATCATACTCAAGAGTAAAAAGCCAACAGCTTTTCCTTTAAGATCGGGAAGAAACAAATATGCCCACTCTTGCCACTTTTATTCAACATAGTACTGGAAGTCCTAGCCAGAGCAAACACAATCAGTACACAGAACCAGTTGCATTTCTTTACACTAATGCCAAAATATGAGAAAGAGAAATTAAGAAAATAATCCCATTTTCAACTGCATCAAAAAGAATAAAATGCCTAGGAATAAATCCAACCAAGGAGGTGAAAGATCTGATCACTAAAACTATAATACATTAGTGAAAGAAACTGAAGACACAAATGGAAAGATATTCTGTGCTCACGGATTAGAAGAACTAATATTTTTAAAATGCCCATACTACCAAAGGCAGTGCAATCCCTGTCATAATTTCACTGGCATTTTTCACAGAAAAAATACAAGAATTTGTACAGAGTTACAGAAAACCCCAAATAGCCAAGGCAATCTTGCA